GAATAGAACGACTGCCCTCTATACTAAAAGCTAGCACCATTGGTCCATCTAGCTCAGCAAAGTCTGTGACCCTCCAGGGTTTCAGACAGAGACCTTCCTGCAGACGCCAGGGGTTGAACCTGGGACCTTCTGCGTGCAAAGCACATACGCCACCACTGTGCCCTTCCCTGAGCAGAGGAGCGTGATCCTTATTCATCATATTGTTACACGCCACCCCAATCTCCACAAGCAGGGCAAGATTCCATGAGTTGTAGGCGTGCTTTCCAGGTGTGTTCTCTTTTGGGACAATGAAACACAGCGGAGTCTGTGTTGTCTTTATGGTATATGATTTACTTAAAAGGTAAAGGTACCCCTGACCATTTGGTCCAGTCGCGGACGACTCTGGGGTTGCACGCTCATCTCACTCTATAGGTCGAGGGAGCCGGTGTTTGTCCGCAGACAGCTTCTGGGTCATGCGGCCAGCATGACTAAGCCGCTTCTGGCGAACCAGAGCAGCGCACGGAAACACCGTTTACCTTCCCCCCGGAGTGGTACCTATTTATCTACTTGTACTTGACGAGCTTTCAAACTGCTAGGTTGGCAGGAGTTGGGACCGAACAATGGGAGCTCACCCCGTCGTGGGGATTCGAACCACCGACCTTCTGATCGGCAAGCCCTAGGCTCTGTGGTTTATACCACAGCGCCACCCATGTCCCTATATGATTTACTTACACATACTGTATATATAAACTGTGTCTGGGTGGAGAGGGCATTCAGATCCCAAGAGTGTCCTGTTTCTCCCATTTCTGCAGCCTTAGATTCCAAGAAAACCCAAATATGTCTGATCCTCTCTGCAGCATAAAGCAGACTGCCTGCCTCCTCCTCTGGGCTCCCCTCTCCAGCTTGCAAAAGTGACACTTTTTTCCTGCTTGCTTACCACATCAGCCACTTCCATTCTGTCCCTCCTGAAATTAAATTCTGGCCTTGTGTCTCCACGATCTCCCACCACAAGGTGGGGCTCTCCCCATTTTCTGTGAGCCCAAAAAGTCTCTGTCAATGGCCTACTTAAAAGGTTAATGGTGGGTCACCTTTGTTCTTCCATGACCCCCGTCCATAAACTAAATGCAGGGGTTTCCATGTCTGGCCCAGTTTAGTCAAATCGTGATTAATTCTAACTTAATAAATCCAAGAAATATGGGTTCTCTGGCACCCAGATCCTATAATGATATAAATGTCCTCCATATGCAGAGGCATAGCAGTGTTCATTTGCAAGCTGCTCATGTGGTGCTATAGTGCTGTTGGGGCACCAGCACTATAGCAGAGCCTACAGATGACACCTGCCCCATGTTTCCCTTAAAAAGCAAACAAGCACGCTCTCTCCGGCACTTTCAGCAGTGCTGGCAACATCAGTGGAGTGTGTCTCCCTGGCGCCGCAGGTGGCCAGGCACAGAAGGCGACGTGAGCAAGATGCAGCAGGGCAGGCAAACGCCCTTCCGTTCAATCCCATTGGACTGATTGGTAGGGCGATGCTGCCACCACTTCTCCTCCTCTCCCACCCCAGGTCAGGCTTGGCTCGGGAGTGAAGCTCCGACAGGGCGGTGCTGGGTTGTTGCCAAGAAAGCTGCTTCTGCAGCTTCCTTGTTCTCCCGAGCCCAACGGAAAGGCTGATGGGGTGGGGGTGGCAGCAGCGCCTCTCTCCTTCCCTCTCGGCCAGCCCAAGGGCACCTCTCCAGGTGATGTGGCAGAGATTAATTTCAGGAGGGTGTCGCTGGCTATCGGGTTGGGCTTACTAACCTGACCCAATAGTGCAGCGACCCCTCCTAAAGCTACTGCTCAGGGAGGTACCAACTGTACTTTTTCCAGTGTGCCATATGTAAGGAATACAAGACCCCGTTGGCAACGCAGAACCAAACAATGTTGTTCTTTAAACAGAACACACAGTGACAGAAAAAGTGTGTGTCCATTGAAGTAGAATTGCAAATCTATCTTCCTCCATGGGCCTTAATTTTCCGCCTTGTAAAATCTGTATTGCAGCCATTCATGTATGTGTCAGATAGCTCATTAAGAAAGGCTTGGGCCCAAGGTATATGACACCACATGTTGTTGAATTCCGTTCCCATCAGCTGCAGCCCAGCATGGCAAGTGGCCAGGGATGACCATGGCACCCTGTGCGAGGCCAAATTTGGCACTTCCAAATGGATCTTCTCAATTATGGATCTTCTCAGTTTGCACCTCCTTGGTTCAGTGCGCTGTGTGGGGTAAGTGCCTTGCACCACCCTAAATCTGGCACTGGATGATGGTAGCTGTAGTCCAACAACATCTGAAGTACCACAGGTTCCCAATCCCTGTTATATGTGATAATGGTAGACCCGTCCTTTTAAAATATTGACACAGATTTCAGAGAAAAAGAAGCATGTGGGTGTGAGTTGTTGAAGCTTCTAGGGTCTACTACTTAGCTCCCGAAGCCCCTGGGCTGGCCCTGGGGCTGCACAAAGCCAGAGTCTGGATGGGCCCCAAGTATGAGTTGGTTGTTTAAAGGTTTGTGTCATTATCCTCCAGGGTCATTCTAATTTCCAAATAGTGTCCAGAATGTGCACTGCTAAAGGTTCCTGGAGCCAGTGAAGAGCGGTGAAACTTCATCTAAGGGATATTAGTTGTATCTCCACAAAGATTGCTTTGTTTAAGTAATCCTTTGGCCCTTGGCATGTGTATGCCTGGTAGCAGCCCCTTCTACAAAATTTATCCTGCCCAAAATGCAGAACTCAGAAGGAAGGTGTCAAGAGAGCCAGGTTAAATTATTTAGCGGGCTCCCAGGGCAATAATTTCCCCCCCACACTCAGATGCAATGATCTTTGTGTCTTTTGTAGCATGGAGAATCCATTAAGTCAAACAAATATTATTTTTCAGTGTAGGGTTGGCAATATTAGGTCTGATCCTCACTTCTGTTTGCCCCGTTTACTTTCCTCCAGAAAACCTGACCTTTATGCCTGAGTTGGAGCAAATGTCAACTGCATTTTCTCCTGGATTAATGTTTTGCTCCAATTTAGTGCTAAAAAGTTGGTTTTCCAGGAGAAAGCAGTGGAGCAAAGGCAAAACCTTTGGACCCACACCTAGAAAGGATAGGGCAAGTGGAAGTGTGGGTGAGGCCCTAGTCTGTTACAGAACAAGATAAAACAATTAGAGTGCTATGGAACACATTTATTATGGTGAAAGCCAGTTGTGGGGAAGCTGTGGCCTCTAGCAGTTGCCAGAGTCCAACTCCCACAATCCCTAACCACTGGCCCATGCTGGTTGGGCTGATGAGAGTCCAACAGTATCTGGAGGCCACAGGCTCCCCAGCCCTGGCCGGGGAGGGCGGGGTATAAATTATTATTATTATTATTATTATTATTATTATTATTATTATTATTATTATTATCTGCTTTCCTGAACTATATGAGGTTTTTCTGAGC